ACCTACAAATCCTATATCTAGGTAATGTCCACAAATTAATATTTACAACACTCCCCCTTGGACATTACCGCATCATGTCTATGCCTCGTTAAAAACCTCGCTGCAAAACCCTGTAGGAAAAAGCAGTCGAGGAAAAGAGTACATAACATATGCAAATTTATGTATGCTGTCTCGTTAAAAACCTCACTAAGTAAAACCCAATGGAAAAAAAGACTTAGTCAAGGGAAAAAGAGTACAGCACCGGCCAACAGGGCCTAATTTTCAAGATTATAATTAATGTTTCGGGCTCGATCTTCGAGATTTATTTATCGCTCCCCCTGAAGGGAAAACCTTTTTAGTTACATACATAATTGTATGTTGCTCCCCCTCAATGTAAGAATTTCTAACATAAAATCGTCATTTGTTGCTCTTCCGGAGTTGATATAGATTCAAAAATATCATCAAATGTATTTATATAATTTATTTGTGTAACACAAACTAAGTTATCTTCAGGATAAATATCGGGAAACTTCAATAACCAATTGTAAAGAGTTAATACCATTTGAGAGATATATAACCAATTGAGGACCCATACTTCGGGGATCAATTATACAATTGATGTCCTTATCCACCAATATCATATATCAAGTCCAAAGATAACTCAACATACATGAAGAATAATGGGATATTCTCAATATTTATCACGATATCTCTCTAAGGAGAGATTTAGTAAATCTTGCTAGCAAATTCATCAAAAATGCAGTATCAGGCCTGATGCAGTTTGCGTGATAAAAGTTCTGCACAATTACGCTTAGTAAATAATGTTGGAACCCATGAGGATCTCGATATGCACAAATCACGGACAAACATTCAACATAAACCTATGCGCAACGGATCTAAAGGTTTGATGAAGAAAACTTACTGCTTAAAATCTATGTAGATCTGGCTGGCCCGAACAGTTGATCCCAAATCAAATCTTCTCGGAATCGAACGAACTTGACCAATCCAGAAAGCTGACGTCACGGCGAAGTCAACGGCGTTGAACGATCGGAAATCAGATGTGTCACGCGCTCTCACGCGCTCGATTAGTCTCCAGCAACTGCAACCTTCCGGCGGCGCGTGCGGGCGCGTGCGGCGGCGGCTGGCGGCAATCTCGACGGCGATCTCTTCATCTCGTCGTCCTGGTCGTCGTGGTATGGTCACTTGCTGGTTTTGGTCTCCGGTTTGGATGTATGATAGATCTGATTGGAATCACGTATATACCTTAAGATCTTCTACTGTATTCTCAAACAGCTATCTAGATCTTGTATCAGTGGAGCACAAGAAATAGAACTACTCCTTGGAAGAGAGACAGAGAGGGGGCGGACAACTTCCAAGTTATGGGATTGTGTTCTCTCTTCCATGAGCCTAATGCTGTATATATAGAGCTACAGTAGGGACCCTAAGGAGAATAAGATAAGGGCTTCTAATATATTAATACTGTGGAGCAACCCCACAATTAATATATTAATAATATTAAAGTCCACCACAATAATATTATTGCACTCCCCTCGCCTATCCCAAATTACATTTGAGACTCCATATTATAATTATTCGATTTACCTCCCCATGTTTAAGATATAATGTCCATTATTTAATTCGATCACTAATAATCAAGAATTAATTAATATATTATATTACCGAAGCTAGCGCTCGCTCATAGCATTCATATTATGCCGGAATAAATCCACCTGCAGGGTTTAGCATAATATTCCTTCATGAACTCACTTCGGGGACATCATCATATTGACGCACATGGTGACCGTAAATATCCTAATAGCACATCGAACACATAATGTCATTACCCAATTCATTAAGTATGTCGACCCGGCTTGGATCTCACCCAAAGAATCAAAGCGCAACAACAATTATGTGCACATGCCTATTTAATATCTTACGGGTTAAGAGCACGCAATAATTAACTGAGGCCTAGTTCATTTACGACGATCAGTATAAAACGAACATCCTTCTCTGGGATCCTGTTCAATACGTAAATGTACTATTGCAACTAATCGGTCAAGACAAACCGTACGGTTGACACTACAACCGTTCCGATAGGTCGTTCAATTCCAACTAGGTTGTGAACCAATGATTCTTGTTTCGCAAGTAACTGATATAGTGATCTTCGGTACGCCCGATGACGACCCAATTATCTACATGCAAAACAACAGAACGTGGAACTTATTTAACCAAACATAATTCTCATTCATCAAGAAATAACAAGTGTAATATCCACTAAAGCAAAGCTTAAGTATATAACACCAACAATCTCCCACTTATACTTAAAGCTGCCGCTTTACTAGTATAGTCCTATCAATCCGTATCCTAAAAGACCTATGTCGATCCTATCACCATAGATTTGACTCCCATTCCCTCTACGTGTTTGGCGAAGACCTTCTCCGGCAAACTCTTCGTAAAAGGATCAGCTAGGTTGTCTTCTGATGCAATCTTGGTGATCTTAGCTTCTCCTCTTCCCACAATATCTCTGATAAGGTGGTATTTGCGCTCTATGTGTTTGCTTGCTCTGTGGGCTCGTGGTTCCCTTGAGTTTGCTACTGCACCACTGTTATCACAGTACACGGTAATAACACGTGGCAAACTCAGAATCACTTCTAAGTCCACCAAGAAGTTTTTGAGCCAAACTGCCTCTTTCGCTGCCTCAGAAGTTGCGATGTACTCGGCTTCCATAGTGGAGTCTGCTACGCACTTTTGCTTAGCACTCCTCCATGAAATGGCTCCACCTCCCAAGGTAAACACATAACCTGAGGTTGACTTACTCTCGTCCCTATCTGACTGAAAATCAGAATCGCTGTAACCCAGCGTAAACAAACTATCTGCACGGTAAACTAACATGTACTCCTTAGTCCTTCGCAGGTA